ATGACAAATAAATGAATCGGAGACATAATCCAACGCACAAACACACCCCAGATATGTATTTTTTTTCTCTTTTCTTGTTGCTTCTCTCAATTTAACGTGCGCATTGTGGAGCACGTATGAAGCCGACGGCAGGCGAGCCGCAGGACGGAGTATTTCTGAATGGAGCGCCGGCTAAGGGGCTGAAAAGAGGAAGGGAAAGGAGTGCACAGTATTCAATAATGATATTCCAGTGAATTACATCGCAGTGCAACACTCGAGATGGTACTCAACACAAAGCCTGCATTGAGTGTCACTGTTGCATATTTCAGTATGATTCATTATCTGTGTCAACAGTGACTGAGGTTCAGGGCCTTAGCATTTGTTGTGCATATGATATGTGGGTGAAAAAAAAACTGCTGTCGATGGAGATTCGGGAGGATAAGGGGGAGGGAAGGCGCTGGAGAGGAGAGCGAGTGTGGCTCTTCCTCCAGCACACTATTTAAAGCTAATGGCTCCAGTCCAGCGTCAGAGCAGAGAAGCAGGGATTGTTATTTTCATGTGACTCCGGGTAGAGCTGGGGAGGCTTTAGTTTTTCATTTCAATTCTGTTGCAAAACAGTAATTGAAGCGTATCGCTTTCATCTCCACTTATCTCCTCGGCTCCTCTCCCTTTGGAGCGCTGCTTGTCTTTGCGCGTCTTGACATTGTTGGTTTCTCTATGATATATTGTCTGGGATTCTGGTACTTCATTGTAGCTTGCTGCTGATGTACATGGCAATTAAATTCAAACCCCAAAGAGGAAGAGCTCAGTCAACCCCCCCCCCATCTCGCTCGCTCGCTCCTGTCCGCCGCTGCAGCCTCGTTCTCGCACTACTTTCAATCACTGTCTTTTTTTTTTTTCTTCTTCTCGCCTCTCTTCTTTTGATTCGCCCTCCTTCTCGTATCTGTCTTTCCTCGCCGCTCGCTTTCCGTCTGTATCTTCCCTCCTTCTATTCCCTTCATGTTAATAAGCAGAGTAATGGTGTTGCAGGCAGTTCCTGGTTGGGGAGTTAATTAAAATGGCAAGTTACAGCCCACACAGTCAAAACAATGGAGGGCCGCGCTTCTCGCAGTGACACGGGGAGATATTAAACAAGCCCAAAATCAAACAGCGTGAGGAGGCAGGCTGCACCCCGACGTCACTTAACGCTCCTCCTGAACAACTGAGGGGCTCTTTGTTTGGCTCTGCAGCCCCGTCAACATTAGTCATAGCAGCGATCCCGTAATTACTCCGTGAGCTCCTTGAACCTCTGCATCATCCGAGCACTTCTTGTACGAGATATTAATGTGATTACTGCAGCAGCGGCTCGGCCGAGGCTGAAACCGAAGAATGGAAATAGTGACATCTGCCTATTCCCCCCCCACCACCACCTACTGCCGTCGCACAACACGGCACAAACACACACACACACCCCAAACGGTTCTGCTAGCGCGGCTAGCACAATGCAGCGCACTCAGGCAGCAGTGGGCCGGCTGAGCAGGACAGGAGCTGTTGCCATGGTTACCGTTTCTCGGCTCGCTCTCGCAGCCCAGGAAAACTGTGTCATTATCCTGTACTTTGGATAGCAGGAGAGAGAGAGAGAGAGAGAGAGAGGAGGGATACAAAGGGGAGACAAAGATAGAAAAAGGCAGAGACAAGGAGAAAGACGAGAGGTTCTGCGGTTCACGCCGGCCGCCGCTCTAACGCGTGCATCATCAAAATCTGCACCCGTTTGTGCTCCTCTGTTCGCCGGTTAACCCTTCTCACTCCGGCTCTAACAGCTGACAAATAATGCTCCAAAATATCAGGTGAGAGCGGAGCATGGCGATAATGGGATGTCTCTCTCTTTTTTTTTTTTTTCCTCTCCGTGGGTGAAAATTGTCACCAACAAGCTATTATAAAAAAAACAACAACAACAACAACAAAAAGAACATCAACCTCTGCGTCATTGTATTTATTTTAACACGCCGGCAATCACATCCACGCTAATGACAACCAGCACAGGTTCTTATTGAATAAATACACGACGCTCAGTGGGGCGACAATCTTCCGCTGAGGGAAAAAAATAAATAAATAAAAACGTGCATCTGTGAGCTATTTCTAACCTCGGAGAGACACACATACATGTCGCCGGTGCAACGTGAGGTCCACATCAGAGCAGCTACATTGTGCACTAATTACATGGTGGTGTAAATAGAGGCACCCTGCTGATGTGGGCTGTGCACCACATGATTTCCCCTGGTGGAGCCCGGCCTGTTTGCGCTGCCTGGCTGTGTGTGTTTTCTCAGCGTGTGCAGGCATGCATGTGACCCGTACACGCAGGTAGACGCGCGCGCTGATGGAGTGCATGTTTTGTAACCTGCGACGTGCGCTTTATTGAGCTGCGAGCTAAAAGAGTGCGACGCCACCCCCCCGAATGTGAGGCTGCCCTCCACCCCTCGGCCGCCTGACACAGCTCTCCAGAGAGACCTGTTCATATTACTGTGGCTGTCCGCTGGCCGGAGCAACACAAACAGCACAAAACAAAGCCTCCTTCAATAACAGTGGAAGAAAGGACCTTGTGTAGCCCTCGGCTGCTCTCCTCTGCGCTCGTGGCTTTTTTTCGGACCACCGATATGAAAGAGGGGAAATTGGGAATAAGTGTTTTGACATCCGGCTAGAAATAGATGAGATGGACGAAAGTAGATTTTTATTTTAAAAGTGAAAACTGCACTGTTAGCGTGAAAACACCGCTCGACTCCGCACTGCTGTCTGCTCTGCTACATGTGCTGCAGAGAGTTTTGTAAGAAAATTATATTTCTATACCACCCCAAACATCTTTTTCTGTAATATATTCAATGAAAAGGCAAATATCAGATGAAATAAATGCAAATAATAACAACACTGACATGTATTGATCTAGCTCTAGTACATTTATTCCCACTTTTACTGAAAATTACTAAAAAACCTGCAACAAAACAGCAGCGACAAACACATTTGGGCCACAACAACATCTAAAAACAGGAGCTAATGTACTGTTATCAGAGGTTGTGGATGGGGATGTGATGCTCAGTTTTATTTTAACATTTATGACCAAAACATTGCATTAATACATTTCTGTTCGCAAGACAGACAGTAGGGCTACAAGGTGGCTCGGTGGTTAGCACCATTGCCTCGCAGGTAGAAGGTCGCTGGTTCACGTCCCGGTGGGAGCACCGGGATCTTTCTGCGTGGCGTCTCCATGTTCTCCCCGTGCAGCGTGGGTTCTCTCCAGGTTCTCCGACTTCCTCCCACAGTCCAGAAACATGTTGAGGTTAATTGGTGATTCTAAATTGTCCGTAGGTGTGAATGTGAGTGTGCTTGGTTGTCTGTCTCTAAGTGTAGCCCTGTGATAGACTGGTTACCTGTCCAGGTGAACCTGCCTTCACCCTGAGTCAGCTGGGATAGACTCCAGCCCCCCACGACCCTAGAGTGGTGTATAGATAATGGATGCATGGAAGTTAGACAGTATGCAGGAGTCTGTTTTTGTACCTGTTTGATGAGCTCATCCTACATCTACTTCATGTAATAGAGTTCTCTTTGGTTTAAAGAATTAAATGATTAACTTTTATTCACTTAATTGTGGTTAATAATATAACCGGTCAAAACTGTTTTAACATATTAGGATGAAGAAGAAGAAGGTCATGCATGACAGAAAATGTAGATGAGCTGTAGTTGCCTGGTTGAGCCACCAGGTGGGTTTCATGTTGACAGCAGAGAGCATTGTGGGAGTTCAGCGAGCAACGGGACCATGACCGGGTTAATAGGTTCCAGGCAGAGTTTATGCTGGCGTAGCAATCCTATAATCGAGGGGCTTTTATGGTGAATGTCGTGTATCTGAGGTTAAAAACAATTAAATCAACATGTAGAATAAATGCTACTGTGTTTAGTTTGAAGCATTGATTGGTTATTGATTGATAATGTTGCCGACTATCCAGGTGGAGCCTCTTCCTGTTTAATCCAGTAGAGACCAGAGGAGGCGTTCATGTTGGCAGCAGAGAGCATTGTGGGAGTTTAGCAGTAACAGGACCATGACAGAGACTCTGAGGAGGTTCATGCCTTCTGGTCACACCTTTAAATCAAACTACAATCAACAACACTGCTGTCAGCAGCCTCTCCATTATTGAACATCAGCAAACCAAAGTCGTTTTATCCATCCATTGATGAAACCGTATCACCAGCAGCAGCACCAGACCGACTGTAACTATAAAAAGCAGTCAGACAGGTGACAAATTAAAGGAAAAAATCAGTTCGACCCCTCGCTGTTGGACAGAGTGAGCTCGCCGAGTGCGAACACTGGATTTGTGACACTAATCTTGAGTTCTCACCTTGAAACGGTGGTGATTGAATAGATGTTCTGCGCTGTCAGGTGGAAGATGAGTGTGAAGCTTTTAGAAAATTTGAAGCGTCGCTGCTGCAACTTTGTCCTCGATCGGAATCAGCCGACTCTGTTTTGTTTCTCTCAATAACTTAGTAAACGTGGACACGAGAGCTGCGTGAAGCATTGACTGTAGCTGAGGATGTTATTTATCGCAGTAAACAATGTGTGCATACATACAGGAAAGTTGGTCTCTCAGCTTCTTCCCAGCAGAGGGAACAAAGCGAGTAAACTCCTCCGCTAATGAGGCCGCCGCAGATGTTACATGTGTGGGATCGGACCTGCTCAGTCCGAGGCCTCCGGGTCGGACGGATGCAAACAAAACTGGCTGAGAGACAAAACCTTCAGTTAATGTATGAAATATGTAAAACAGTAGAAATGTGTCTTCCCCAACCGTACAGACGGCGCCGCGGTGTTTACGGCGCCGTTCCTCAAGTGCTTCGTGATCTTACCGACCGACCGAAATCAGCGGCGGCGGCGGCAGTAATTGCCACTTCCGCGGCCTCATTTGAAAAGCACCACTGCAGGGTTTGCGAAATGGTGGGTTTCGGCGGAGTGAAAAGCGCAATCACAACTAATCAGAGCTTCTCTTGTTTCCTGCCCACAGCGCCCAACACTGCACCCTATGGGAGCACGGGGAGCGCCAACGTCCCGCTGGCCTGCCGGTACCTGGTCCTGGCGCTCTCCTCCTTCATCAGCGTCTACTAGCGGAGGCCAAGCCGGACACAATGACTGTCGAGAGCATTTATGAGTCCTTTTTGACATTGCTGATGGCTGGAATCCAATCTGGTACAGTTTGTTGAGAAGCTGTGGTGGGAAAATAATCAGTTTGTGTGGGGAAATCTTTTCTTTTTTTCTTTTCTTTTCTTTTCTTCTCTCTCTCTCTCTCTCTCTCATGTAAATACTATGATGTTTTTTTATTATTATTATTATTTCGTCTCTCTTATGTTGTTTTTATTTCCTGATTGATTGACCGCCTTGTGAATCAGTGCTCACCCCCCCACCCCCACCTCCAATCATATCAACAGCCCCCCTCCTGAAACCTCCACTTACTTTCATGCATCTCTTTCCCTGCGAGGCGATTGGTGCAAAAATTGACATTATCATCCGTTTTTGTTTTTTTGTTTTTTGGTTGTTTTTTTTTTGTACATGGCTAAAAAGAAGCAATTGTGCCAAGTCTCTCAGTACACAAAATTATCATTCCAATGTTGTATTGAATGTATTATGGGCTGCTGAACAAAGGACAGACATTTAGATTCCTAACAATACAAATTTTGATTATGGAGTGTGCTTAAAAAATACAGAAAAAATAAAAAAAATATATAAAAAAAACAAACAAAAGAACAAAAAAGGCCGGGCTTTTTCAGGACCTGTGTTGTCATGATTACTCAATAGATGGATGAACAGTGTTGAAGGTGTGCTTTGTTGTGTTCTGAAATAGGTCCATCGGTTGCCACGCCCGCCGAAGCAGCTTCGATCGGGCGGCCGTCAAAGTAGCAAAATATACCGTATCGTATCTTTGATTTCTTATAGTGTAGGCTTTTGTTTTGAAGTGGGACCAGCTTTTCTCATCCGACCAAGAGCGTTAACGCGACTTTGTACAGTACGAAGGGAGGAACATCGCTGCCCTGTGTTTACATTCTCTTCCTTGAAAAATAATAAAATGCTCCAGTATGCTCTCGGTTCTTTTTCTCAGCGAGTCCACGAATGTCACAACAAAGAGTCTGAAGCTCGTTTGGAGGTTGTGTTTGGCCACCCGACGTCGATAAAGGATCCTTAAACACAGTAAATAAAAACCTACTCGGTCGTTCCCAGAGAGCCGAAGCCTTCCTCCCCAAACACGTTTGCTTAAGTACATAATCTACAAAAAAATAGTACAGTAATTAAACCTGCTTCGACTCGGTCCGTCTCGTGTTAATTATGAGAGATAAAAAACTCACAAACACGCTCATCGCCGCGGACGTGGCCCTAAGGTGCTAACGGCTCCTCCAAGATGAGCGAGTTCAACAAACAGACGATCGGAGCAAATTAAATCACGAGTTTAATGGGAGAACCTGTGACTTTTTTTTCCCTTCCCCTGAAATTAAGCATATCAAGGCTCCAAACCAGTGTTTTGCTTTGTTTTGGCATATTCATCCTCGGGTATCTTGGATTCTCAGCTGAAGCAGAGATACTGTACTGTAATGCCTTAATAGTACCATAGACATTAAATTTCCCTCCTTCAGAAGGACTCTTCCAGAAGCTCTCAGTAAGATCCAACCATCCGTCTGACTGAATGTTCATCAGCCATTAGCCGTTCCAATTAGGCGTTGTTATTATTATTATTATGATATTCAATGAAATCCAACCGACGTCTCTCGCAGGTATTTTCAAACATAAGCGTCTGATGCAGTATTTGTGGAGCGGGTCGACCCGAGTGTGCGTCGCCCCGCCGTGATCTGGAAACTGCAACTCTATACAGAAAAATAGCCATCCCAGATAAAAAGACTTAAAGCACAAACGCTGTTATTATTTCTGTGGTGATTTGTTTTTAAGGTCTGCTAAACTCTTTTTTTTTTTTCTTTTTCTTTTTGTACTGAAATTGTTCTCATTTTTTTTTTTTTTGTTTTACGAATTCTGAAAATACTGCACCGTATGATCTTGTTTAAATGTTAAGGTATAATGAAATTGAGTCAGAAGTATATTTATTCTCTTCCTTTATGAAAAACGATGTATTAAAAAAAAAAAACCAACAAAAAAAACAAAAAAAAAAACACATTTGAAACATGTAACACTGGATATGTGACATTTATTTGAATGAGGCTCAGTGTGGCATAGTTTATAATGTTGTCGGGTTCATTTAGATGCCATCACTGTCGTTGATTTAAGTACATTAAAAAGAACAATGTTTGCAAATCAAATTACCTACTTTTTGAACCAGAGAGGGTGTGAACCAATATAACAGTATTATAGAACAGAATCAATGTGTGTATATTTGGAGAATATAGGAAACCTTTTGATCTTTAGAGCCAGTGTGTAGTCATAGTTTTCACACACTTTGAGTGTTTGACGATGTGCAGAGAGTATGGTTGTGCTGCATGTCCAAGTTAACCTGTGTTTTTGAGGTGGCCATTTTACAGATATTCATACTTTCTAATGAATGGAAGCCGGGTTTTTTTTTTTTTGTTTTGTTTTTTCTTTTTCCTCCAAACGTTTGGTTCATAAACCTGGTCTAAAAATACATACCTCCTACAGATCACCAGGCCGTGTTTGTTTGTGGTTTCTTTCGATCAACTTTGCTGATGATAAAAAAAAAAAAAACAACTGCTGTTCAGAGTCATGATGAGTATTGTGGCACAATGGTGACAGTCTGGACTTCTGTTGGTTGCTTGTCTGAGCAGTTACGACCATGCTAGTATTCATACATATGAAATGTACTGGATGTTGATTATTTTGAATAATGGTATTAACAAGTCCCTTTTATCGAATCCGTATTATTTGCAATAAAAGTCTTCATGTTACAATGTAAACCCACATCTGACTTAATGAGCACTCAAAGGGGGTTTCTCGTTGCCGCTGGGTTCGAGCCGATCAAAGCGTAAACTCCATAAATAATTGCTATCAACATGTGTTGTGACTCAGCCAAACCACAAACTAAAGTGTTGTCTGTTTGCCAGTAAACATGCATCACAGGCCGGCCAACTAACTTCAGCTGTAAAGTGTTTCTTACCAACAGTTAGCTACCTACAAACAAATAAATAACTTACTTAACGAAAACAAGGTAAACATTTATAATGCTGCTGGATCAAGAGCAATGACGACGAGTCACTCAACCTAGAAAATATACAGTTTAACAGGCGCAACAGACGACTTAATGCAAGTATCACTTTGTTTTATTTACATCTACATACACAGATAAATGTGTCCAAGTACAGTGCCTCCAAAAAAGCATTCACCTTCTCTTCCCCCTTTTATTCAATATTGAATCCAAGTTAGTTTAATTTGGCATCTGCACCTCATGATGCTGCCACCACCGTGCTTCACAGTGGGGATGGTGTGTTTGTTTTCCACCAAACATAGCATCTAGTCTGATGGACAAAAAGCTCTTGGTCTCCTCAGACCAAAGAACCTTCTTCCAGGTGACTTCAGAGTCTCCACATGTCTTCTGGTGAACTCTAGTCCAGATTTAATCTGAACTTTTTCCAACAAAGTCTTTCTCTTTGTCTCCCATAAAGCTTTGATGGTGAAGAACAGACAACAGTTGTTGTATCAACAGTCTCTAACATCTCAGCTGCTGAAGCTGGTAACTCCTTCAGAGGAGTCATCGATGTCTTGGTGGCCTCCTTCACTAGTCTCCTTCTTGCTCAGTCACTCAGTTTCTGAGGACGTCCTGCTCTAGTCAGATCTACTCATGTTCCATCTTCCTTCCATTTCTTGTTGATGGATTTAACTGGACTCCAGAGATGTTCAGTGATGAGAAATTATCTTGAATCATCCCCTGACTTGTGCTTTTTAACAACCTTCTCACAGAGTTCTCAGAGTGCTCTTTAGTGTTCATAGTGTAGCTACAGCCAGTCAGTGCTTATAAAAGCATTTATGTTTTTAATCATTTGATACTTACTTTGTAGAAATCTGCCTCCACGTTGACATGAGAGTCTTTTTGGTGAGTTCTTGTTCAAAGAGACGATTTAAGTGACCACAATGTTGAAAAGCGATAAACGGGGAAGACTTCCAAGAGAGGTGAATACTTTTTACAGGCACTGTATGTAGGAGTCATAACAGTTGAAAATGAGCGGGAAATACCTGATTATGCTAAGCTAACTCAGCTAACATTATTCACCCTTAAAGTCAAACGTTATCGCGATAACAACCATCAGAACTTACTTCATACTTTGTTGATATATGATGTAAGTCTTGATGGTTTAAACTGAAGTATTAAAGGTCAGATGATCAAACTCCATATTGTCTTCATTAAGGAAGCTAACATTAGCTTCAGTATCTAGTCACAAGCTACTCGTGTAAAAATACTTTTTGTGGTGCAACCTCGTCTAACTTAATGACATTAAATCTCCACATCTGTCAGAACATCTGGGGCGCCTACAGAGGAACACTTTGTATGAGTCATAGTTCTTGTGTTTTAATCCTCTGAACCTCAACGTTTCTCCTCAACATGGGCTCATTTCTTTACTGCGTTATAAAGTCCTGAACCATCATGCAAACAGAACTAAGATGAAAACACAGAGTAAACTCCATTTCTTTGATTATTTACTTCACAAAAATAAAACGATCTGGAATCAGCATGTCCAACATTTGTCCACGTGTCCACAGTGGTTACCAACAAAACAACGGTGACTCTACGAACTACAGAAACGTTTTAATGATCTTCAGTTTCTCTGCTTGTCTCTTCTTTGCTCTGTGGAAACGCCGCCTACATTTCAACCAGAGAAGACTTTTCATTCTGTGACTGCTGGTTTTCATCAACGGCTTCTCAGTTGAGCCAAAGAATCTGTTTATTTTGTTTGTTTTTGACGAAATATCAGGATTTTACCAGTAGATTTGGTTTCGTTTCCTGATAGGACAGTGTGCCACAGATGAGTTGTGGCTGCTAAAGAGTGCAACTTTGGAGTTTCTTTAGAGACAACAAGCCTTTCAAGCCCAACGGGAGGTTTTTGGGGTTCAGAGGATTAATCATCAGACAGAACAAGATGCAGCTCAAATTGTCTGAACAAAATAACGCTACGGTCGGCGAATGCTAGCCACCTTCAGAACCAATGACAGTTTCTAAAATCCACCTTAATGTAATGTTTCCAAGGAGGAAATCTGCGACATGATTGTACTGATTTAGAAGTTGTGTGAAGCTAAACATTAGTCAGTGAGTTAACCACTAAGAAAGCAGCCGTATTCTTTTTAATCACATGAGTTTATAAAGATAAAGATAAACTTTATTGATCCCACAGTGGGGAAAGTTCACCATTATAACGTTAACAACATAAACAAATCTGTAAAAGTAAACTCAGTTCTTACTATCCTGCATTAATCAGTCCTATAATTCCGTTTTAAGTTTAAATTCTTGAGAAGAACTGCCGGGTCCGTTATGTTTTCGTGCAGCCGGAGTCGCGGCGTCGTCTTAATTGTGCCGTATCATGTATATTTGATCTGCTCCCCTCTGGCCTCCAGCGCTCCATAAATCCTCCTGAGCCCAGATGGCCAGATGCCACAGTACATAGGATTAACCACCGTTTGCTCTGCGCCATCGTCATCGACTGGAGTGTGTCGCTCGCTCTTCCCTCCATCCCGTAATGCATCCAGACTAGATTAGACCCGTCCCAATAGCACTGGGGAGGAGGGGGGGGGGGGCTTTCCAGTATCCCCTGACCTGAATACACTCTGAAACATCGGCGGTGTGACCTACCTCATAAGAGTTCAGATGAAAAAGTCGTGTTGATGCTGAAAGGAGGCCACGCCACCCACCTGCAGAGATCACCGCCTCGCCTCCCGCCTGACAGCGCAGGGGGGGGAGAAAAAAAAAAAATCTCTCCACTTTTAAATTTAAGATAAGAGGATTTTAAATATTCATGCCGGTGCGTATTATTACGGCCCCGCAATCCCCGTCCTGAATATTTAAAATTCCCATTTCAAAGCATCCCCGTCCTCTCGCCGCAGACGTATCAGAATCGCATTGTTCTGTGTGAATGCGTTTATTAGCAGCTTGAGTTTGTTGCATTATGAGACAACAGCTGTTCAAAGTGAGTCTCGGAGGGCGACGGGTACTGTACTGAATGTGCCTTTAAAGTATTCTATCAATCGGTCCGGCGCCACAGACCGACTCTCATCCAGAAGCATTGTTATCAGGAAGCGAGCCGGAGCGGGCGTTTAGCCGCAAGAGGAATTTAAACTGATCTTATGACTGCAGGTACTGTTGGAGCATCATTCAGTTTAACAGCCCCCAGATAATGTACAAAAAAATAAAGTTAAATGTCATCATAATCAAAATAATTCCCACTAATGAACAGTTTGGTTTCAGTGTAGTCGTGCACATTTATCTTCCAGGGAATTAGGAAGCAGGGTCGGATGCTATCAGGTCAAACGCTGCTTCTTTCCGCTCTTCAAGGCTGTTAGAAGGTTTATTAATCGACACGCCGCTGCAGGAAAATAAGAAAGTGCTTAAATACTAAAAAGCAGGATTATTCTGTAGATCTTGCGCGACTCCGGATGTCAGATGAGAGACTCCGCTGCCAGCGAGAGCGTACGGAAAAGACAAATGCGACTTAAAAAAAACAAAAACTGAGTCATTTTCTATCACAGCTGATGCAAATCTTTAACCTCTCAGCTTTATGTTTTCTGCAAAAACAACAACACACACAGAAAAAAAGGAAATCATCGTGCTGTGATTTGACTGTCGGCAACTGGATGCAAATGAACGCGTAGAAAACGGCGTCTGAATTACATCCCAACACACTGCGGGTTGTGGAAGTGATTAGCATCGTGTCAAAGTGTTGTTTTCTCCTCACAAAGGCATCTGTGGCCAGCGTGAGCAGAGAGCAGGCTGCAGGAGTTGTGAGACAGGGATTCCTCCTGACCTTGCGGTTAATGAAACCCTTCCTGTGCCTTTGTCAGTTTTAACTGGGAGATTGTGTCATGCTACATGCCGAGGCTGCTGCCGGGGCTCCTGCAGCCGCCATCCCACCTCCCTGAGCAGCATACTGAGTTGTCAGTATCAAAAAAAAAAGGAGAGAGAAGAAAATCTCTGCTTCTCGAGTGCATTCAGTTTGGTAGATATGTTTGTTGCACAGCAGGCGGAAGCTTTCCCCTCCTGTCAAACCCGGGCGGCGAGAGAAAGAAGAAATTTCTTTCTCTATAACCAGTCTCGGAGCAAGTTTCAATTCTAAATGGGAAAAAAAAGAAAAAAAGAAACGCTCATGTTTTTTGAAATAGGCCTGTTTCATTTCGCAGCAACATTTCAACACAAACACTGAGTGATTTACTGGTGCGACTCTCCGACTCCCTTTGAAATCCCTCCGAAAAAAAAAATGTGGCAGCTGCCAGTGTGGAGGGGACGCGCTATTTTAAAAAGAGGTTGCATCAAGTATTTGTCAACCTGTCCCTCATTATTTCCAGTGAACTGGAAAATAAGTTGCCAGCCGATGATGCAGAGCCTGAGATAATGCCCGGGTTTCAGAGCGAGCTATCTGAAGCAGGTCTCTCCATGACGCCGGCGGCTGAATCACGCTCTGCAAAAGTGTTTTTTCTCACGGAGCTCGCGGGCGATTTGTCAGTGTTTTTAAGGACGGATTGAGCGGAATCACCATAGAGGAGACGTCACTATTTAACTGACAGTAATCCCATTTCTTTTGTTTTCATGCCTCCGAAGGCCGATTACATTTTTGTGTGCACTGAATGACGAATCGGTTCCTCGTAGCAGCGCGTTGTGTTCGGTTTGGTTTCTGTACATTCAATATATTTCTTTTTATTTTAACAGAAAACTGGATATTAAGAAGTTTCCTGTATGAACTTTTATGTCTTTTCTTTT